TATTACTATTTCTTCTTTTCTTTCAACAAACCGGCCATATCCCACCAAGGCAGGGTGGCCCAAAAAGAAAAACAAAAGTTTCTCTTTTTAAATTTATTAATTTGTACAGGAGAAGGGGTTACTAGCCCCTTGTTCCTGGCATTTTAGTCGCCTCTTACAACACGCATGGCTTACGGAAGAAGAATTCTGTTCCACTTCCCCATGGAGGTAAGAGGAAATAAACAAGAACAAGAACTAGTAAGAAAATAGTAGAAAACCCAGAGGGGTGTGTATATATATGCTTGTATATGTATGTGTAGTGTGACCCAAGTGTAAGTAGAAGTAGCAAGACATACCTGAAACCTTGCATGTTTATGAGACAGAAAAATGGACACCAGCAATCCTACCATCATGTAAAACAATTACAGGCTTTTGTTGTACACTCACTTGGCAAGACGGTAGTACCTCCCTGGGTGGTTGCTGTCTACCAACCTACTACCTAGGAGGGGTGTATATATACACCTACCATCCGACTTATGACCGAGTTCGGTTCCGAGAAACCGGTCATAAGTCGAAATGGTCGTAAGCCGAACTTTACTACTGAATATCAACAAAATATTTTTGTAATGGCTTTATTTTATTGTTTTGTTTTGGTATTTCATGTTTTACTTTACTTTTTATGTTGTTAGTACTGTATTTTATACTGTAAGGTTTAGGATAAACAATGTGTACAACACAAATAGTTGTTTATTTCCCAGAAATTTGGCATAAAAAACACGGTCGTAAGTTGAGTGGTCGTAAGTCGAGCAGGTTGTAAGTCGGATGGTAGGTGTATATATATACACCTACCATCCGACTTACGACCTGCTCGACATACGTCCACTTGACTTACGACCGTGCATCTGGCAGCTGGGCTGGGCCGGCTGATGCACACCACTGTACAATATATGACAATACTCGCGGCGGCAATACGTCATGCAGGCAGCATCAGTTTGAGTAACCCAGTCCTATCAGCAGCATCATACTGTATTAACTGTACTAACTGGACAGTAAATTTCACCATGGCCCCTAAGATGAAGTCTGAATCTTGTACTGGAGATTGTGGCAAGAAAGGCTCTTACTCTTGAACTCTCTATTTGTTTTCACTGTTGCACATAAACCTGTCTGTATCTGTCTGCCTATATATCTGTGTATCTCTGTGTGTCTGTTTATCTGTCTGTCTACCTGTGTGTCTGTCTGTCTGTCTACCTGTGTGTCTGTCTACCTGAGTGTCTGTCTGTCTACCTGTGTCTGCTTGTCTGTCTCAGAGCCACTCATTAAGAGTGTAATTGGTCTTGAAGATGCCATATTAATAATGATAATAACACAATAATAATCATTGAGGTGCATTAAATGTGTATAAAATGTTGATATAGACATTTTGCTTAATCCATCTATGATTTCTTTTTCAAAATTATATAATAAGCATGCTACATAACATATAAACATATAAATTAACAAATATGAGATGTTTTTCTGGTCGGCTTGACAGAGTGAACAGAAACCATTCATGTCCGGGCTGGAAACAACAACAACAACAACAACATTTGTTTACATAGCTCGCCAACCTTCTACACACTCATTCGTTTATTCATTTAATCTTGTTTACTTGCCTCTCACTCTACATTAAGAGTACAGATATTTTAAGGTAAGTAATGAGTGGACACAATTATTATATTATAGTTTAATAATAATAATAATATTAATATTAGTGCATATGTATTATTGTAATAATAATAACAATAATTATTAATCTTTCTTTCAACACACCGACCGTATCCCACCGAGGCGGGGTGGCCCAAAAGGAAAAACGAAAGTTTCTCCTTTCAAATTTAGTAATATATACAGGAGAAGGGGTTACTAGCCCCTTGCTTCCGGCATTTTAGTCGCCTCTTACAACACGCATGGCTTACGGAGGAAGAATTCTGTTCCACTTCCCCATGGAGATAAGAGGAAATAAACAAGAACAAGAACTAGAAAAAAAATAGAAGAAAACCCAGAGGGGTATGTATATATATGCTTGTACATGTATGTGTAGTGTGACCTAAGTGTAAGTAGAAGTAGCAAGACGTACCTGAAATCTTGCATGTTTATGAGACAGAAAAAAGGACACCAGCAATCCTACCATCATGTAAAACAATTACAGGCTTTCGTTTCACACTCACTTGGCAGGACGGTAGTACCTCCCTGGGCGGTTGCTGTCTACCAACCTACTACCTTAATAATTATTAATATTATTATTCATTTAGGGCACTGGAGCACAGATCCACTGTATAGCACTTTGTCTGGAATATTTGGGTTATCCTAGGTAATTTATACTATGTATGATAACTTTACTTATGTGTACCTGTGAGAGAGAGAGAGAGAGAGAGAGACAGCCACATTCAGTCAGCCAATCACTCACCCGGCCACCCACCCAGCCAGCTACGTATTACACATGTTCCAGAGTTGTTTCTCTTTACTTAGGGTATAGGTTATACTGCATTCTGGCAGGATGACACTACCAGTGGTATTCTCCCATTCACTGTGTCGACAATACATGAAGATAATAGTAACATATGATACTGTATGCGATGTAAAATTTACAATACAGTTCACTACCATGTATACATTATATACAGTAAATAAATAATTAAAATATAACAGTAGAAGTAAATTATGGTAAAAAGAATGAAATAATGATTGTACATTACATTACAGTACTATGTAGGTAGTTTATATAGGAAAAGTTTGACATTATGCCCTACCCAGTATGTCGGCAATTTTCAAAGGTTCGACTTACGTCCATTTTGACTTACGACCGGTTGGTCGGAACCAAGCTTGGTCGTAAGTCGGATGGTAGGTGTATATATATATATGCTTGTACATGTATGTGTAGTGTGACCTAAGTGTAAGTAGAAGTAGCAAGACGTACCTGAAATCTTGCATTTTCATGAGACAGAAAAAAGGACACCAGCAATCCTACCATCATGTAAAACAATTACAGGCTTTTGTTTTACACTCACTTGGCAGGATGGTAGTACCTCCCTGGGCAGCTGCTGTCTACCAACCTACTACGTATTTTTTTTTTTTTCAACAAACCGGCCATATCCCACCAAGGCAGGGTGGCTCAAAAAGAAAAACGAAAGTTTCTCTTTTTAAATTTAGTAATTTATACAGGAGAAGGGGTTACTAGCCCCTTGCTCCCGGCATTTTAGTCACCTCTTACAACACGCATGGCTTATGGAGGAAGAATTCTGTTCCACTTCCCTATGGAGATAAGAGGAAATAAACAAGAAGAAGAACTAGAAAGAAAATAGAAGAGAACCCAGAGGGGTGTGTATATATATGCTTGTACATGTATGTGTAGTGTGACCTAAGTGTAAGTAGAAGTAGCAAGATGTATCTGAAATCTTGCACGTTTATGAGACAGAAAAAAGGACACCAGCAATCCTACCATCATGTAAAACAATTACAGGCTTTTGTTTTGCACTCACTTGGCAGGATGGTAGTACCTCCCTGGGTGGTTGCTGTCTACCAACCTACTACCTATATGTTCTATAATATATATTTTTTTTTTTTTTTCAACAAGTTGGCCGTCTCCCACCGAGGCAGGGTGACCCAAAAAAGAAAGAAAATCCCCAAAAAGAAAATACTTATAAATAATAAAACAACTTTCCACCACACTCACAAAATTATCCTGTTTTGCAGAGGTGCTCAGATACAACAGTTTTAGAAGCTATATGTATAAAGATACACAACATATCCCTCAAACTGCCATATCTATAATATAATATAATACACATATAGAGTCACCTGGCCCACATTCCTAGAACTCTACAGCTTCTGGAAGGTTGTGTGTAGGTGGCCTCATTTGTCATGGAAGTCCTTGATAGAGTTGCGTTGGCTGGTGTCACAAGATCTGCATACCCACCCTTACCCAAACACTGTCTTCCCCAAGAAGCATGGTGCTTCCTCACACCCCACATGGAAATAAGTCACTTTATTTTTTGGGTTTCCTAGTTATGTTGTCTGGGTAACCTTCCTACCTACCTACCTCTCCTTCTTCCTTCCTTCCTTCCTTCCTTCCTTCCTTCCTTCCTTCTACCTCCTCTCCTCCCTCCCTCCCTCCTCCTCCCTCCCTCCCTCCCTCCCTCCATCCTCCCTCCCTCCCTCCTCCCTCCCTCCCTCCCTCCCTCCCTCCCCTCCTCCCTCCCTCCCTCCCTCCCTCCCTCCCCTCTCTCCCCCTCCCTCCCCTCCCCTCCCCTGCCTCTCCCTTCCCCCCTCCTCTCCCCTCCCCTCCCCTTCCCTTCCCCTTCCCTCCTCTCCTTCCTTCCTTCCTTCCTTCCTTCCTTCCTTCCTTCCTTCCTTCCCTCCTTCCTTCCTTCCTTCCTTCCTTCAAGTTTCCTGGGCATTGCTTTCAGTCACAAACTGCTCAAAACCATGAAATTCATCTTCACTGACACCTCCATCTGTGTTAGATCTATCACTTGGGAAGAGAAGAGTCCCAGATTCACCGGGGAGTCAGATATTTCTTTCCACTAGGCATGCTGAACTAGGACTACTAAAATGGTGTTCCCACAGTGCACCACTGGCTCCCCAATTTTTTTTTATACCGCACACACTGACCATGTAGACCCATTCTCTTACATGTAGGCCTACCAGCTTTTTCCTGCTAGATCTGAAGCCACTAGAATTTTGGCGTATTAATACATCACCAACACTGGCTCGTATGACGTATCTATACGGCACCAACAGTGAAAGGGTTAAGCAACAATGATGACATCACACATTCCTGTTTAAGGCCTACTTTTACTGGAAAATCCTTCTGGATAAGCTAAATTATATTCTCTACAAAGTTAATCACTCTTTTCATTACTCTTAATATCTAGTCTAGCAGAAATTTTTTGGACCCAACAATTCCGAACGATCGAGATTCAGTGGCATTTTGTATCTCTTCAAACATTTGTTTTTGCCATTAATATTTAACATATTTTTTGCAGGTTGGATTGAACCCTCATTATCAGAAATTCAGCAATGGCTTTATCATCAAGCATTATGCTGGCAATGTCTCATACCACATTGAAAATTTCTGTGAGAAAAACCGGGACGTTCTCTTCGCTGACATCATAGAGGTGCTGTAAATGGAATTTGTGATTTATTGTAATAGTTTCCAGTGTTGGATAAGCTTGTAAGATATACTGGGTTTTTCAATACCAACACAAGAGGTCAAGATGAAATGAAGAGTAAACTTAAATGTGTCAGATAGTCTAAAACAAAAATAAATGGCTGCAAGCTTTATGAAAAACAAGTCAGAAAAAATTAAAATAATTTTTTAGGTATAATGACAGTATTGACTGTTTAACTTATAAATATATTGAATGATAGTGAAAGTGAACAATATACCTTAATAATGCTCTTCAGACATGGTAGAACTGAATAAAAAATTTATTAGCAAAATACAGTAATAGACTGGTGGTTGCCCATGACAGCATTATCATTACCAAGTTACTTTGGTAATGATAATTTTGGTTAGTTTCTTCACTTGACCTTTGTAATGATAGTGTTGACTTAGTGTTTTTGGTTTAATAATTAAGATTTATCTTTCTTCTTTTTCTTACATTTTCCTTTTACTTTATACATAATTTTGAATATGGGTTGTGTGTGGTGTTTAAAACTAGAAATTGATATAGTTTTGATGTATGTCATTTCTGCAGTGATTGGCTTTATTTATTTATGAAGAAGAGCCGAATACTAGCACAAGTAGGGAAATATGTCTTTATTCACTCTCATCAGCATTCAGTGTTCTTTGGAAAAAGAATCTAGGTGAAATCAGAGAGGCCTTAACTTACACAGAACTTTGTGCACAAGAGAGGCTGTAGAGTGTTGGCCAAATAATACAGACCAGTAGCACTAACATCACACATCATAAAAGTCTTTGAAAGACTGATGAAATGCCAAGTTTCAAAATTTGTGGTACAGTGTGACCTGCACAACCTGAACAAAATTGAATTTGGAGCAAGATCATGCTTGTTGCAACTACTAAACTATTACAACAAAATTATGGAGATGTTGAAAGAAAACCAACATGCAGATGTGGTCTGGAGTTTACCTGGATGGTCTACACAGATTTCATGAAGGAATTTGACAAATGTAATCATATAGTGGTAGCAAATAAAAGGAGGTAAGTATATTGGGAAATGTAGGCAAATAGATATTAAATTTTCTGACTAAGAGTATGGGTAAATAAAGCAATATCTAGCCTTAGCAAAATAAAAAGCTCAGTACCCCAAGGCACAGTCCTGGTTCCTTGACTTTTTCATCCTCTTAGCAGGGATACATGAAAACACCAACTAAAACTTCATATCATCATTTGCAGATGAAACAAGAGTAATGATAAAAGTTTCTGCAGTAAGAGGGTACAAGAAAAAGTCTTCGATGTGTAATAGAAAATAAAGTAATACTCATTGGGGACAGACTAACTAGTTAGATATGGAAGGAACTAATAACTCTAAAGGGGCACCGTGTATAAAATGCAGAGCTACCTAAGTTTAATACCCGAGTTTAATAATGTCAGTTGACTTACCTTTTATTGAACACAATAAGGCAAATGTTGTGACAACCAGAAAATGAAGAGGTGGATAGTGAGAACTTTCAAAACAAGAGAAATGGTGTCACTATTCAAAACACTTTCAGAGAATTGCTCGTTTACGGCTTCGTTGAAGACATGAGAGTATCAGAGCTGGAACAAACAGATCATTTACCATATGCATAGAGGCAATAAAATATTCAAACTATTCTTCTTCTTATGACCAGAGCTTTGGTAAGATGGGTAAGGAAGAAGGATGGGTAAGGGTAGAAATATTGGAAAAGGGTGGGAGGGGGGAGAGAGGTAGGATATAAAAGGTAAGTGGCCCAACCACTTTGGTGTAATTTAAAATGTGTATGTGAAATAATAAGATATTCTTAAAGGGGTATAATACTAACCCATCAGAGTCACATAGATATAACAGATATATAAGTACATGACTCTGAATTGGCAGTACAGTGGACCCCCGGTTAACGATATTTTTTCACTCCAGAAGTATGTTCAGGTGCCAGTACTGACCGAATTTGTTCCCATAAGGAATATTGTGAAGTAGATTAGTCCATTTCAGACCCCCAAACATACACGTACAAACGCACTTACATAAATACACTTACATAATTGGTCATATTCGGAGGTGATCGTTATGCGGGGGTCCACTGTAATTATACAAGTTGCAATTGCATTTTTTTTTTTTTTTGCGATTGCACAACGGATATTTAAGCGACAATGAAGACAATAATTTCCTGGCCAGTTTATAAAGAATTACTTAACAATGGCTTCTTACAGGTGGTGTCCCACCATCGTAAATTTAGCATAATTTTTACAGTAGAATGTTATATAAGATGTCTCCCTAATTGGGGGCGATGATTTTCTCAGTAAACATAGAAGGGTTCTGGTGTTACCCAATCATCTTCATCAGGAAGGTTGCTCAATATCATTGGTCGATGGTAATCATCTTTATGGATAAAACAATGGACCCTCTGTGGGAGTCATTCTTTGAGTCCTGTGAGGAGGAGTATTGATGATATAATCCGTGGTATTTACAACTTGTAGAGGATGTTCTCTATCTGGCATGTAGAGTTCTTGCATTGCATAGAGTTGTTTCTTTTCCAGGGTGTCAAGGCGTACATTTAAGGCAGTAATATCTTGTTGTACGTGTAAATCTGCCATTTTAACTCTGTCTCTCCTCCTGGTACCCGTAATGAAGCGAAGAGCTCTATTCTGGACCCGTTGCAACCATAGCTTGTTGGTCTTTGTTGTTAATGTCATTGGGACACATGGATATTCGAGTATAAGTCTTATTATCATTTTATATAGATGTTTTTTGACATGTGGAGGGGCTTGATTGAATCAAAAGAGACTGCTAAGACCGGCTTTGTCTATGTTGATCTTTTTAGTTACATGAGATGTTAAGTGGAGCAGCTTGTCTATTTCATATCCCAAGATCTTGTTAGGGTTTCTAATGGCTACAGGTGTACCTCTGATGGAGATACCTCCTTTATCTTCGATGGTTGATGCAAAACATCCTGTTGTGCTAACAAGGACTTTGTCAGGATTAGTCGTAATTCTCCACTTCTTTTCCCAATTAGATGTTCGACGAAGTTCAATATTAATTTTTTCTATGACTCTCTCATACTTGTATTTTCCTGTTACCAGAGTTGATGAGATGACATGGGTAACATCATCTGCAAACTCTGTTATAATTGTATCATTAAACTCTGGTTGAGGAAGGTCTTTCACATAAATGTTGAAGAGAATTGGACTAAGACAAGAGCCTTGTGGGACACCCGCTGTTGGTGTAAAAGGCTCTGTCGACCTGCCATGAAAGGTGGGAATGATTTTTCTTTTGAGTTAAGAAATTATATATTAATCTGAGAAAAGTCCAGTTATGGTCTGGTAGGTCAATGAGTTTGTATATAAGACCATCATGCCATAAGCTATCAAAAGCTTTATGAACATCTCTGGTGACAATTAGGGCAAGATTGCCCTGATGTTTTAGACTTGCTACAGTATCGAAAATAATATTTATTGCATGATGGGTACCTCTATGTGTTCTAAAGCCAAATTTTTTTCAGTAAAAAGGTGATTAAATTCCATATAGTAGTTCAGTCTGTTTGACATGATCTTCTCAAGAACTTTTCCAGTGACTTCAAGTAAAGATATAGGTCTATAGTTCCCTGGTTGGTGGATGTCTTTATTGGGCTTAGCAAGAAAGATCATCCTAGCAGTCTTAAAAACCACTGGAAAATGTCCTGAGGCCAAGATGGTATTAAAGATATTAACCAAAGACTGTTTACAATTTCTGGGTAGGAACTTTATTTGCTTCATTGTTATTCCAGAGAGACCAGGGGCTCTATTTCGCATTCTTCCAATAACCTGACTCATCTCAAGTAATGTAATAGGTCTAGTAAGCGGGTGGGTGTCTTCAAGAGTTGATGTATCAATGGAAGGTAGTGGTTGTAGATCATCTAAGTTCTCATCTCTCCATTCATTTACCAACTGATAGTGATTATTGTTAAATCGACGACTGTTATTGTGGGAGAGAATTTCCTCCTATACATCACCCATCAAATTAGCCTTGTCCTGTGGATCATCAAGTTTAATCTCAACATCTTCATCATCCTCATCAGTGAAGGTATGAATTAGGTAGTTAGGGGCCTTGTGCTTTGCCCCTAACAGTTGTCGGATCTTACTCCAAAATTTTGCTGGCTCACGTTTATACTGATTAGCTTGGAGAACTAGCAATTTCCATAAATCACATTTGTGATGACTAATCATGTTAATTAATTCTTGCCTCAATCTGTGCAATGTAACTACTGGTGGTTGTCGCATTTGAAGATGCCTTTGACATTCTGCTTGATAATTTCTTAAAGCATCTCTAATTTCCCTAGTAGGTTTATATTGTTGATAGATCTTTGTGGAAGCTAATTGGCAAGTTGCATTAGTAGCTTCAATTATTCGATTGTGAAGGGACCTGATTGCGTCATGAATTGTAGTGGAAGGTAGATATTCCAACGACACAATTTCATCTTTACCCAGAAATTCCCTGAAGGGGTCAAATCCTAGGGTGTTAAGATTGGGTTTAGGAGTTACAGGTATTCTAAATGGAGAAGTTTGTAGTTGTATTATAACAGGGATATGGTCAGATCCTCTGTTTCCACCAGGAGAGATATGACAATGAAAGAGGTCACAGTCTCTGTTTGTCAGGACTATATCTGGTGTCCCTGGATGAGGTCCAATATACGATTTAAAGAATGGGCCTTGAAATGACAAGTTTCTGGCTGTCATGATATTAAATAGTTGTTTTCCTTTTAAGTCACCCAGTGGAATACCAGCTTCGCAGTTAAAGAGGGCAGGGTGATGAGCATTAAAATCTCCCGCTAGAATTGTTGGAATATTTCTGCTTAATATCCTATGTTGAGGAATTGGCTCTATATATTGTTGTCTCGGGGGAAAATATCCAGTTCCTATCACTAGTTAGCCATGAGACATTGTCATTTCTGTTGCAAGAATGTTATCTTCATCAATATGAATATTTTTAAATGT